CCTGGGGCAGGGACCCCAGCCCAGCCTCACACAAAGCCCCCAGGCCCCCAGGAGCAAAGCAGCCGGGGTTGGAGAAGTGCGAGATGGGAAGGGAGGAAACAGGGCAGGGGGGAAAGGAGCAGAGATGGAGACCCCAGCAGAAGTGGATGAAGTGGGCAGAGGGGGCAGGGCCATTGATACCAGACTGCAGGGCTGAGAGGGAGCAATTAGAAGCATGGTCCATTATTTATTAATAGCAGCTTTGTCATTAATGAGCAGAAGGCGGCAGGAGACGGGGCAGAACGACGCCTCAGCATCTCCTCCTGCCCGGAGCCATTCACTGCTCCTGGCCCCGCGAGACCTCGCCACGGAGAACCGACCGCGGGAGCGGGGTACAGCACCAGGGCACAAAGGCACCAGGGACGGCAGCTGCGGGGGTCAGCGGGTGACACTGGGACGGATGGGGGCACAAGGGGGTAGCCCCGCCAGGACTCACCACCATCCCATTGATTGACACCCAGCAGTTCTGGGGGAAGTCCTGCAGCATCGGCACCAGGAACTGGAGGCAGCCATCCCAGTGGCACAGCAGCAGCATCATCCCGATCAGGTTGATGATCCGCATCACCGCGCTGGCCAAGTCGTACGTCATGTGGAAGATCTGCGGGCAGAGGGGACGGCACAGGGTGAGCGCAGAGACCCCCTCCCCACTGCCTGGGCCCCCAACTTGCACCCTCAGCTGGACGAGGTGCCCGTGGCCTGGGCTGGGACACATCCTTCTGACCACAAACTGAGACATGAGCTGAGCCCTGGCTCCTTTTCCTTTAATATTTTTAGGGTCCAGAAAAGGTGAATTCAAGGGGGAAAAAAAGAAAGCAAAAAAAAAAAAAAAGGAGAAATTAATGCCCTCGCAGTGAAACCCCAAATCTTTTACTGCCCTGGTGCAGATCCAAGGCTGCAGCCTCACGGCATTGCATGGAGCAGCCACACAGCACGGGCAGAGAAAGAGCACGGGTATGGCCCCCACATCCCTCAGGGCCCAGCCCTGGCCCTGAGGTTTTTACCCCCAGGCAATTGCCCCCTCCCAGCTGCTGCTGATGCTGCTGGGGGCAAAATCAGGCCCAGTCCCACCCGCAGCCACTAATGCAATGTCTGCCAGCCCCAACCACAGCTCCAAGAGCAGGCGAGGTCCCAGCGTGGGGGCTGTGCTTCCCCCGTCCCAGTAAGCGGATGCGATTACCAGGATAATCCGCGCAGCCACGCAGGGCTTTAACTTGTCCCCGGGGCTCTCCCCGCTAAGTCCCCTCTGAAAGTGAAAAGGGCACAGAGCTGGGTCACGGGGGAAACAGGGACGCTTTGGGATGTGGAGGTTGCAGGAGTGCAGGGTGGGTGTGGGCAGGGGGATGTGGGCAGGGGGATGCAGACCCCAGCCCAGAGCCAGGGCTGGGACAGCAGTGGAACAAGAGGATAAGGAGGGGGCGATGGCAGTGACCAGCTCTGTGCTGCAGCGACCAACCCCAGCACCAGCTCCCGTGCCAGAGCCACAGGGGTAAGCTGAGCACAGCACAGCACAGGGGCACGACACCCACAGCCCACACAGCCGGACAGCCCATGCCTCTTGCCCCAGGGGTCCCACAGCCCCCCCAGCGCTCCCCAAGGTCCCCACGGAGCATGGAGCGGCACAGTGCCAGCCACGCCGTCACCTGTGGGTGCTGGACCACAGCACCAGGACCAACAGTGCAAACCCAGCACCCGGATGCGTGCACACACATACATAGGTGTGTGCACACATACACACGTGTGCATGCACACAGAGGGCACAGCTCAGCTGCAGCAGCAGTGGGAGGGTCACGGCCACCACACACAGCCCTGCCCATCCCCTGGCTCCCCCACTACCACCCTCGCAGGGTCTCCCCCGGCTCCCACCACTGCC